AAAAAAAACAGTGGAAATATTTTTTTTAACAAAGGTAAAAAACCCCCCGCCCCCAAAAAAAAAGAAAATCAACTTTGTCAGAGGTCAGTTTTAGACTTACATAAATCCGCTTATAATGAAAAATAACACTGGTACCACAAAAAATATTAAGTATTAGATTATGTTACTTACTTATTAGAACATGCTACTTATTAGATCTTGTTACCTATTAGATCATGTTTCTTACTTATTAAACGATGTGACTTACTTATTAGAACATACTACTTATTAGATCTTGTTACTTACCTATTAGATCATATTACTTACTTATTAGACCTTGTTACTTACTTAATACATCATGTACTTACCTATTAGATCATGTTTCTTACTTATTAAACGATGTGACTTACTTATTAGAACATGCTACTTATTAGATCTTGTTACTTACGTCTTAGATCATATTACTTACTTATTAGACCTTGTTACTTACTTAATACATCATGTACTTACCTATTAGATCATGTTTTTACTTACCCTTACCTATGATATCATGTTTTTACTCATTAGGACATGTCGCTTATTATATCATGTTTTTACTTATTAGGACATGTCACTTATTAGATCACGTCACTTTACCGATTAGATCATACTACTTACATATTAGATCATACTACTTACTTATCAGATCACGTTACTTACATATTAGGTCATACTATTTACCCATTAGGTCACGCTACCTACTTATTAGATCAGGTTACTTACCTATTAGATCATGCTCCTTACTTATTAGGACATGTCAGCTATTAGATCATGTTACTTACCTATTAAATCATGTTACTTACTTATTAGGACATATCAGCTATTACATCATGTTTTTACTTATTAGGACATGTCAGCTATCAGATCATGTTACCTATTAAATCATGTTACTTACTTATCAGAACATGTTACTTACTTATTAGGACGTGATCACGTTACTTACTTATTCCCGACGTCATTTAGGACTTTAGGCCATATTAACGGTTTCTATCACGCGAATAACCTATTGGGTTTTTTTCGCGCTTGCTTCGACTTAGCAATATTTGAACGATTTATTCATAGTGTGGGTTTCTATCTCATAAATGTCTAGTCAGATTATCGTGCGGGTTTTTTCAAGCCTGATATCGTTTACTCAAATTATTATTTTTTCTTTCACTCGGATGTTATTCAGTAATACTACCGGTTTCTCTAACATGGATATTGTAAAGTCATGCCTTCCGCGCAGATCCCGTTTAAACAGAATTACCGGTTTAAATTTTACAGATGCTCTTTAGTCAGATTAAAGGTTAGTTTTACATAGATGTCATTTACTTGTATTATCAGTGTCATTTACTAGGGTGACTCTCCACTATAGTGTATTATCACAAGTTCTGCTAAATATTTTTGAAATCAATGTGTTTATATTTTTATTTTCCAGTTCCTCCACCAGTAGCGTTTGAAGTGCCTTTAGAAGAAGAGAGTATTATCAAGAAGCACCCACCTAAACGATTACAGGTATAGGTTAACCTTTAAAAAAAAAGGTTTAAGATATCTTAGAAAGTAAATTGAATTCATATCGATTGACGTGACGTCATCCACTTGTTCGAGTGTGTTTGGAAGTTACGACTTTAGATCAAAATAGGTCAAATGACTGACACTTCACATCCGTGCAGGACAATTACTTTATTATATCCTGAGTTAATTAGTTAAGTCCCTCTCATGCCGAGTTGCCACATAGGATCCGGTGCTGAACTCCGGCTTAGTTAGCGAAAGCGCATGAGAATGGAAACACGTTCCTTCCGCTAACAGCTGGTACCCGTCGTACAGCTGGATAAACTCGAACATGTGGGGTAAAGTGTCTTGCTTAAGGACACCAACAGCATGATGCAGACCAGCTCGAACTCGCAACCATCTAACTAAGAGTCCGAAACCGTTAAACCAAAGCTGCCTCTGATTATATCCTGAACAGCATAAAATATTCGATATTTAACAGTAAGCTTATAACGTTAAAATCTGGGGTTCAGTTCCCCACGGTGAACATATTGCATAGCTTTGTGCTTAAAAATAAACAAATAAAAATTCCACAGCTCCTATGGCCACTCCTTGAGTGATTTGACCTTTGTTCTGAAGTAGTCAAATCAAACCTGAAAGTACAGTTCAGAGCCTGACCACTAGTGGTTTGGTTTGTTTTGAATTACGCGCAAAGCTACACGAGGGCCATCTGCACTAGCCGTCCATAATTTAGCAATGAAAGATAAGAGGGAAGACAGCTAGCCATCACCACTCACCGCCAACTCTTGGGCTACCCGCATCATTAGTGATCTTAGAATTTAAAAATGACACGAAGTTATCAGAATAGGCACATTTCAAGTGTGTTAAATCATATTATAACATCAAGTGTTTCTGTGTAATAGCTTCTCGGTTACTATTCTAAAAAGTAATCAGATAATAATCAACAAAATAGTTTTATAACCTACCTTCAACCACCAAATTAGAATGACAAACCTGACATCTGGTGAATTAGCGGTATTTTTTAATATCTAAATAGTAAAATTGCTTTAATTTTTTTTAAAGCACCAATAATAAGAACGGTCCTCATGCTAAAGTATAAAGATAATTTTGATTTTAAAAACGGGGGGCAATTTCTGTAGATGGGGCATGAGAGTTATTCAAACTAAAATATAAAAAAAAATGTCACGACTAACATAGTAGCTAATGATTATACGCGCGTTTGTTGATAGGCACAAAGCTACACATCTGTGTTGTGCCCTTCGCAGGTATCGAAACCCTATTTGTAGAGTGATAAGGCTTTATATTTAGCGCTGAGTCACCGGGAGGGGCAGTGTTTATACGAGTAATTATTAAGGTAAAAGCTTTTAGTTCTGTTGCATTTTGAGGAGGACATTACCAAGTTGTTGAAAACGTGAAGGGGAATGTTCCTGCGCCCTTAGCATAAATAACGCTTATGGGTTAACTTCTGAAACACAGATATATATTTTTTTATTCATTAAATACATATATATACAGTTTTTACTTCCAGAATATTCAATGTTTCTCCTTGTTGTTTAGGGTAAACATTTTAATTGCGAGTTCGCAACATTTCTATATTTATTTTCAATAGTGTGTTTGTAGGACTAAAAACCTCCCGTAAAAAAAACTAGTCCCTGAGGCGAATCACTGAGTAATGATACATTTTATAAATCTATTTACTGTATTTGTTCTCAAACAAACACGGAACTATGGTGAAACAGTACTTTTACGGGCCACTTTATGGCGATTTAAATATAATTGTTATAAAAAGATGACAGCTTCAATAAATTAGTATTTTGTGTGATGGTTTGTCAATCTGTTTTACACAGCGCCTGGAAGAAATCCAACAAAAAGTACTCACGGTTGATGAGATTGAGGAAAAACAGAAGAAGGCCTTAGAAAGAAGGGAAGAGGTCAGTTGAGTCATTAAGAAATTAAAACTGTTTTGTTTGAATAAAACTTAAAGTTCTTTTTTGGGAAACCTATATATCTTGATAATGTGCGATTGTTTTTCAGGTACTGCAGGAAAAGATTCGAAGTTCGCAGAAGATGCAGAGAGCACTTGAAAGACCAACGGCTAACTTGGAAAATGGAATTGAAAAGGTAAACTAACTAAAGTTAAAATAAATAGATATATATATATTTAAATCAAAAAGTAGATGTAGAAGCAAATAGACTTGATATTGATCCTGTTATATGTTTCCGTTGTTTAATCTACTCTATTTAGAATATTTAAGGAAATAAAATCATGTTGATTTAAACTTGCAACATGAAAATTCAACGAGATACTTATTTCATAGTAATTAACTTGCTTACTCGGCTTTATATATATATATATATGCCCCCTCAGTAGCACAGCGGTATGTCTGCGGACTTAAAACGCTCGAATCCGGGTTTCGATACCCATGGTGGGCAGAGCACAGATAGCCCATTGTGTAGCTTTGTGCTTAATAATTACAATCAATATATATATATATATACACACACATACACACACTTAAATGAACAAAAACAAACCCAAACAAAAATAAAATTAAAGACGCTGCATAAGTTAAAAGGATCCTCTGGGGTACAGACTATAATGTGGGATACAAAATGTGCCCTGGGTTTTAAAAGTGTCTGCTGAAGTAGGGCCCACGTTGCGGTGGGGATACACCGTCTATCAGTCTTAACCCCCGTTCGCCAATCTCACACGAAGAAATTCATAAAAATAAAATAAAAACAATCAATAGAAATATAAATTATCCAAAGAACACACACACACATATATATATATATATATATATTATCACACATATACATACACACAGTATGGTAATATGGTGTCGTAGCCAGGACGCACACATATACATACACACAGTATGG